TATTTTTTTTACTGTGCGCACCCCTTGCAACCAATGCAGTCAGGCGAGTTTTTTCGAACAATGGATTTCAACTTACTCCCGCGAGCCGAAAAAGCTGCACGTGGAGGACCTTTGAGACAGGCATTCCGTGGAGCTGAAATCACTGCTTCGTGTACGCTGGCTACGAAGATGCGTTTCAGCCAAATTTTCATCTTATTTCGCAAGGACTTATAATGATAATAATATTATTCAATCAACCAATAATCAATCAATCATCTTTAACGTATCCAAGAACAATCACAGGGTTTTTCACGCTGGCGCGCGCGAAAATAAAACGAAAATAAACAATACTTTACAGACTGTCCACAGAAAAGCAAATCAATGAAAAGAGCAAAAACGAGCTGTCGAAAAAATCAATGCACAATAGGAACAACAAACAAAAGAGTAGATATTCATGGAATGGGACTGAAAAATAATGTGGAATATACACAACCGTGCCGAAGGCTTCCTGAAAGACGGAAAAGGAAAGAATCTGTGCATATGCAAATCTACGTTAGGACAGGGCAGCCCTCACTGACAAAACAAAATGACTGTAGACTATGAAAAACATAACGAATCAAGAAAGTTGACGTTAGAGAGACTCGGTATTCTGTAAAGGATAGAGTGTTGAAAGAAGCTGGTAGGTACATGCAACGGTCGATTCTTTCTCGATAACTTACGCAAAGTTTGAAAATTATTACAACCGAGAAGGGCAGAACATTTCACCCTGAACTAGCTTGTAAATACATAACAGCTCAGCGCGATTTTGCCGGCCATTAACTGATGGCAAATATAATATTCCAGCAGTGTTGAAAGGATTCTAGTGAAACGATGGGGGTAAATGCTTATGAAATTTTTCTGGACTCACTCAGTGGCGCTACTGCTGGATTTAGCAAGGCCATTCCAAATCAGATGTGCATATGTACTGAAGTTGAGCACAACATATCACAATGTACCATTTGTAGAAGGCTGTAGGAGAACCGGATTCTCGCGAGATGTTGAGCCAACAGGAAGAGAATGAAGGCCTCGCATGGCAGCACATTTAATGCAAGTAGAAAAAATTCAGCAGGCTATCAAAAAGAACACCAAGATAACTGATCTCATAAAACTTACATAACAACACAGTATGACAGCATATGGGTTTGCTGTTGGACGTTTTGCGAAATACAACAACAACAACAACAACATTAATAATAATAATAAAAATAATAATAATAATAATAATAATACACTCGTATCATTCTGACATGGCCGAAAATATCTAGCCACATTGAATGAAATGCCAGTGTCCTGGTGCCCATGAATCTCTATACGCGAGTGTGCACTTGCGCAGTTTGGTGAGTATGTACCGGCATACATATCTTATAAGTAAGTGCACTACCGTGTTGGTGTTGAAAGGATATGTTCGCAAGCAGTTTGAATCGTTACGCGCCTGCACAGCAAGGGGCTGTTTACATAATGTAGAGTTTGGCTTAGGTATCACGCCAGCCCGCAAAAAAATGTGTCATACTAATTGTATTCACAAGGCAATGTTTAGGCTAATCCTGATGATGGCACGTGCGCTTTAGTGACCTCGACCAAGTAATGACACACCGACACAAAATACAAGTTTTGTGAATTCGGCAGCCTACGTTAAATGTTGCTATAAAGCTTCAGCCTTTCATTACATGGTCCATTAAATATGTATCACGTGTGAGTCAGTTGCACCTTTCTTAACGTACATGTCTATGACGTGAGATTTATTTGACGCTTGCAAACATTACAATAAATTAATTGTTCTCTTGTGTAATCATAAAATTTTTGATAAATTTACTATGTGCACAGCCAGGAACATTATACGTAGCCAAAGGAAATGCAAGATGTATTTTTGCAATAAATTAGTACAACTTCCATCTTGAATGTAATCATAATAGTGCCTGCAAGTTGCATTCACCTAAGTTCTTTTTGTTTTTGAAAATACTCCCTTAAACATTGCACTGCGCATGCAATTTTAGTAAATGGCTGCTGAAAGCAATCGCAGATGAGGGGTCAACAGGATTAATAGAAATCTTGTTATATGAAGGGAGCATATAGCCATCAAAACTTTCAAATAATCATAAATTTTGGCCACCGATGTGGAAGCTAAAAGTGCATTGAAATTACTATTTCTTGCTGCCACTTTAAACAATGCATTAATGTGAACAATATAACTTGCATGCATTTTGTCTTTACATAATACTATATAGGATTGCTCTATAATAATAACGAGGTTCGGAAGCTTCAATACGTTTTGTGACTTGACACGATTCCTTCCTCGTAAAACATGTCTTCTCTTGTATACATTATTTACGTCGTATTAATTGCAACTTATTGTTTCAAACCTAAATGCCATGAAAAATGTACGAGTTAAATTACACGAATGCATGCATATATGCATTCCACTGAGTTGCAACTATCACGTACACAAAGCTGACCTGAAATTTCGGTTTTTTGCATGGCAGAAACAACATATATATTTAATACTCCTATTGTTATGAAAAATAAGCAGGTCAGCTTTGTGTACAAATTGTTATATAGTACAATTCGCATAAAAGTGTGATCACGGTGCTAAATATATACGTGGTTCATCCCAAATAAGAGAGCACTTCCACATATAAGGACCCACTTGTTATGTTATATATGGTGTGGCCGTGCCTTATTTGGACGGATTTGACTCCTTATATGGGCCAACCGCGTCATATATGGCCGTATATAACCCTATACATGAACCGACCCCGCCACATATGCTGCCATATATGCTTATATGTGGCCACATATGCTGCCATATATGCTTATATATGGCCAGATATAACTTATATATGGGCCATGTATGGCGTTTCCGTAAGGGTTCCCAGACGTAGTTGATTGTTTATTTTATATTCATATATGACAGCTTCCAGAATATTGGTAGCTGTTTAGAGGCTATTCCATGATTTGATGTGAACACATCTCATTGAACCCTGGCGACGCGTCTCGGTTCCGAAAACTAACACCAATGATCATGACTTCACATTTGGGGTAGCTGGAGTAAATAACCCACACCCATGCGGACGCAGCATACGGTGAATAGCACGCTAACATGGCGTCGGCAAGCACATGATACCCACGGGAAGGCGCTCATGGGAAGTGTTGTCACTCGAGGAAGGAAATGGCAGGGTGTGCACTCTAAATATTTGGGTAACCTAGCACTCTGCTCTTGCATGCAGTAAGTAGCACACAGAGCTTCATGATAGGAAAGGGTGTGCACATAGCTTAAGCCCTGAACTAGCCAAGGCATTCCGCTTCCTGCGTATATGGCTTTTGCTGCACAAAGGCAAACACCCAAACGAGCAGGAATGCACGGATAACAGACCATCTTCTCCCTTCTTAACATTGTTTTTGTGCTCTCTTATTCACGCATTCTGGTAGGCGTGGGTGTTCGCCTGTTTTTTGATAAGGGCTTAGTTATACGCATGCACAAAAATGAAACAATGTGGTTCATAGAAACATCAGCTATGACACATTAGCTAGGCGAAAAATGTGGCAACTCAACATCGTTGTGATCATCTAATAAATTTTTAATTTCACTCATGCCACAACATTCGCGCATGCCAGAGTGTAGGGCTTTTCTATGTATATATTCAGTGATCCAACATCTGTTGAATCATTGTTGAAAATTAGCGCTTCTGTGTTCTGCAGGCCCTATCCTCGTGAATTGAGTGCCGCGCTCAACTTTATCCACATGTTAGACCAACAAGGTCAACAAGCTACACTTGCTAAGCTCGTTATGATTATGAGAATTTCAGATATTTTTCAGAATTTTTTATTGATACCAATACAAGAATGTTTCATGTGTTAGTATACATAAGGGCGTCCCAAAGTCGAAGGCTGCATCGAGACCCCGTGTTAAGAGCAGATTGTGGTAAAACATATTTTTTGAGGTAACATTAGCAATAATCATAAGTATGAACTAAACACGTAAAAAACATAGCAGTGAAAAAATATACGAAATGAAAACAAAACATCCATAATGAAACAAAACAAAGCGAATAATAAAGCTTAGCAGTAGAACTAGAAAAAAGATACAAAAAACTCTAATACATAAAATCTGGCAATTAAAACAAAATAAAGCTATGGAAAGGAAAAACAGTAATACTAACCATGGATGAAGGGTGATTTACACATAATGAAATGAACACAATGACATATGCACAATGAAACAAATTGAAGCAATGAATAAAGCTAAGCAGTAGTGCCGGAAAAAATCGAAAAAGCTACATTAGGTAAAGTTTAGGCTTTGAAACCAAATGACGCTATGAAAAGGAAGAACACTGTTGCTAAGCATGTTTAAGTGTATTTTAGTTCGGTCCTAAATTGATGTAAATGTCTTGCATTTTTAGAGAAGTTGGTATTCTGATCCATGATGATATTGATGAAAATTAAACACTGAGTTCGCCATAATTAGCGCATACCTTCGGCAAGATAACGTTACTGTTATGCGAAAATTCAGTATTACTATGAGCAAACAGGTCAGTAGATGAGAAGCAACTTGGAGGTAGCGCCTAGGTTATGTAAACTCCGTAATGAAGGCTACTGAAAATTTTACCACCTGCGATTGTTTAACGTGCACCTAAATCTAAACATGTGGACCTCGAGCATTTACCGTCCTACGGTATGCAGCTGCAGCAGCCGAAATTCGATTAGGTGTCCAGCGAGCCAGTAGGCGACCAGCCTAACCACAAGACGAAAGTGGTTGGTGAAGTGGGGGGGGGGCTGAATGTGGTACAGGAGTACTCCCGATTAACTTGGACCATCTGAGCCCCTTTCATGTGCACCGAAGTGTGGGCGTACTGGTATTCCTACATTCCTGTGAGGTGTCGAGTAGTACCTGCGTACCCGAGCTAAGGAGCGCAGCAACTCGCTTGACATACTAAAGTGCTGCTTGCGAAGTGTGCCGGCCCGTGATAAAAACTGGACTAACCTACCTGACTACAAACTTGATTTGCTCCTTCGTGCAGTATGAAAGCCTTCCACTGTTTTTCCCTCCGCTCGCTGGGCTCATCAAGTATTCATCTTCCCACGCGCAGTTCAGATCATTTGGATACCCATCCATGACAAGCTCTGACTTTTCACCGTCGTGAGTGGCCCCTAGCCTGGAAACAAATGTGCCAAGTCAACTCGCTGCCGTAACGTTGAACACTCTTCAGTAACGACTCTGGGTTATTCCTACCAAAGCACTTGAATTCTGTCAGCATCCCTCCGTGTTCACGCTCAATCGGGTTGATACGCTAGCTGGAGTGACATTCACTCGATGTTTCCGCTCCTTTCGGAGCGCTTTTGTAGAAGCATATTCGCCATACAAGACAAGCAGAGTGAAACCAGTGATGGTGGTCGTCTGATAATCAACCATGTGGTGTGTTATTTCTTCCTGCTTATGTTCCTGGAGCCTGTCATCTTAAGGTTTTTTTAAGAGGCTCAACGGGAAAAAGCGACTCAAGCGATGAGACACGGCTTAATAAGCGGCGCTTAACCATTACAGTAAACTGACTTTTTCTTACAAATGAGCACTGACATCACACAGCACATGTGCCAATGGCAGCTCATCTTCATTGACTGCCACTTACGTGACTTGAGTCAGCATTCAAGCAAGCATGGTGGCTACTATGCCGTACTGAAAGCACATGCAACCACCCGCAAGTGTATGCTTGCTTCTTTAGTGAACGAATGAGCGAGAGCCACAGCTAAACATGCGATCAATTCTCTGGACTACAGCCACTTCATGAACGAATAATTCTTTTGAACCATGGACGTGTTCACCACGCACGACGCTCGTTAAAGTCCACGTTGAGCTAAAAAGTGCGTGAAGCTTAGAACCTACATAGGCCCTCTTCCTGAGCATTCTCAAAAGATGCCGTCGAACGGTAGTGGCGGCTCCTTAGAACATATCAGCGGAATATCGCAGCGCAGCATGATGCCTGGAATATACAATCAATTTTCGAAAGAACTTTCAAATCCCTCGCTTCTATTTTTTTTGTAGAAGTGATGCCATAATTTAAATTGACCCCTTCATAAACAGAAAGTCCATGACCCTTCTCTACACCGTGAACCGGTATTTTCGCCGGTGCATGCCACGACATTTTCGTACTGCCTTCTGTCGTGCTACAATAACAAACAATAAAAAATTACATCGTTACGCGCACCCCCTACCCAATATCATGTAGCTTAAAGTGCGTTCACTAGACAAAAGGGCAAGGAAAGTGCTTTAAGCACGTGGCAAAATCTGTAATTATACTCGGACTTTCGGGATTTCAAAAACATTTGCCGCAGTCAATTATTCATTTTACAGTCAACTCATTTAATAATGTCCCTTAACGTTTACAGGGCCTCATTAGGTGTGTCATGACCGGCGTTAGAACCACTAGAACACAAACAAATGCGACATGTACAGGCTTCTGTATATAGTGGGTATCGCACATTGTGTCGTGGAATAACGCGACAGCTGTACAAGGCATTGTAGTGTGCCAATCACTTGCATGTATATTTTTATTCACATATCTCATGTTGCCTATACTCCGATAGGAAGTAGAAGGCCAGAGGTATGTTGGCCATATCAACATGGGCATTCGTTTGATTACACATCATCGTCATCTCAAAGAAAGATTTTTGTGTTCTTTTGCACAAAATGATCTGATTAAGAGTTTTATGCAGTTCTCTTCCGTCGAGAAATGTGTAGCGCTGTATCAACCGCTTGTGACTACGAGCTTCGGGTGACATTGTGTGATCGTGCAGGACTTTATAGTTTACACAAACTGCTCGTGAGACACCACAGATTAAGATAATGAGATCATGAGTGGATATTTCATGGGCATAAGAAGGTTCTGCGTACATGAGAACTTTGATTACATGTGCTACACGTGGTGCCTTCTTTGCGGAACGAAACAAAGACATTTGTGTAAAATGAACAAGCCTAGTGTGATCAAGCTGGTGTCTTAGTAATAAGAGAAACAAAAATTCAACACCACTGCCACAAAATGTGTCTTTGAATTTCATGGTTGTAAATGGTAGACAATGAGTGCATGTGTGCATGCTGACAATAAAACATACGCATGTGCGATCTCATGAGCGACCGTAAGTACTCCGCTGTACGTCGGTGGGTTATCTCCTGCCACTATGGCACTGTCGTTTGAGCAAACTTCTGCGACACTAGCCACACCTGTAAAGATAACACAGTTACATTCTGTAAAAACAAGACAAGCAGTGTTCTGGCACATGATAGCGCAACAATTGATTACGTTTTTTGTGTTAGTTAAGTTCAGAGTCATGTTGCAAAACCGATTAATTTCCGTGTAATATAGGCGTGGGAAGTGGCATTGACTTGCTAATACCTTACACTTTATGGCATTTTTATGAAGCCACACATAATAAAATGCGTCTCATATGGCTCAATGTCATTAGCGCTTAACCCACTCGCGAGTGCTCTTTCGACTGCGAAGTGCGTATTCCCGGCTACAAGGCCTGTACAGTAACCGTAATTGAAGCAATTGGTGTGGTCTCTCAAATAGAAATTATTTTGCACACGACCTGACCACGTGGCTTCTCAGACGAGTTCAACTTCACGAATATATTTCTATTAGCGTCTAGGCACCCCGTTGCTTTTATAGACGTTTGAATCGACATGCAGTACACGCAGTTCCTAAGGTTGGTGGCAAACTTGTAAAATACCAACATATTTTACTACCACCACGATATTAAGCTTACTTCCCTATTTAAACGGCATTGAAAGCAGATAAGCCCTGCAAATCCGTGCATGTTTTTATTATTAACGCGAAATATCTGACTTATGAAGCCTTTCATATCAAAATCGTGGATCAAGTTTTATTGAAATATCTGGCCGAAAATACGTCATTCAGGGAAAAAAAGGTAGATCCCACGTATACTGTGGGAATCGGTGATATGCGAAGCAAGAATGAGGAAGGTTAAACTATCACAGTAAAATTATCGGTCCTATACGAGATGGACGTGAACTATGCCGTAAATGGCTACCATGCCATGATTATTATGTTTTTTGCGCCTGGCATTTGTGTTCCTCATCCGTTCGCGTTACGTCCTACTGAATCCGTTGCATGTAAAGCTAGCGAAACGACAGTGAGCGCATCATGAGCATGGCATGGAGTCATACTTTACATGACTTGCTTGTCATGAATACCATGCTTGGATGTGTCATTTATCTTTGTCGTCCATTTGCGTCACGCAATACTAAATTTAGTATATGTAAAGCTAGCGAAACGGCCGCAAACACACAATGACCGTAGCATGTAGTCAAGTTTTGCATGACACGCATGTCATGATTATCATGTATGGACATGTCATTACCCTCGCCGTCCGTTCGCGTCACGAAATACCAAACTTGGTATATGTGAAGCTAGGGAAACGGCCGCATCATGAGCATTGCATGTAGTCATGTTGTTACAAAACAGGCATCCCTTACAAAAATCCTATATATGGACTTATATAAAAATCCCCATATATGGCTACATCAGGAATTGGGCATATCTGGCCCATATATGGAATCCCCATATATGGGCCGTATATAACCTGATATGTCCAAATCCTGATATAGCCATATATGGGCCTTATATCCCCATATATGGGTGCTGCTGTATATGGCCATATATGGCTATATATAGAAGCATCCATATAAGGTCTTATATGGATGCTTTCATATATGGCGTTGTATGGATACCTTTATATAAAGCCATTCGAATGATTCATCTATATTAGTTCAGCCTGTGTCACCGGCAAAAAATATAGCTGCTCAAATCATTCTTCAGCTAGAAATATACCTGTTTGTTGAAAGGTCTGCATGCAGTCACTATGATCTCCAAAACAAAGGCAGTAGATATCCCCTGAACATTCTTGTTCAATTAAGTTATCCTCATTATATCTCAAGTTATTCTCAACAACTATTTGCTAGAATGTAACTTGGCATCATATTTAAAGTTTGTGGTGGGCACATGTCACTGTTAGTCCACTTTTCCTGAAGAGATACATTCTTTGTGCTTAAATTTATTGCTTACTTATCGACACTTTTTTATTTATCTATTTATTTCATTACCCACAGCACCAATTGGCATTACATTGGGGGAGCATTTACGAAAAGTAGAATACAAAAAATACATAGTCAGCCAAACAAATAATCAAATTCACCTGAATCACAATCTGCAAGAGAAATTCATATACAAATCGGAACATGTTCTAACATATAAATCGGAACAATTCTAACATGAAATAAAACAAATATTTGGGAGTGTAGAGACAATGCTAGAAGGCAGCTGGTTCCATCTTGTAATTTTTTTTGGTACAAAATCATTTTGAAACACGTCAGTCTTGCATGCGATTATTCTTATCTTGAACCTATGGTCAACACGGTCTGAGACATAGTACGGTGCAAGTAAATATTCCGCTTTATCGATTCCGACTTGACAAAAATAAATACCATAAAAGAACCCAATTTGAGTTTCGTAAAGATATTTTTCACAGTGTGTTATGTTTAAAACTTTTCTCGTGTGTCAATGGAGCGTCCATAGTCAGTCAAAACGAAATATTGACTTGCTATTGACCGTATGAACTGCGCGTGCATTGAATAACTTAAATGAGTTGATAATCAACTTTTAAGGAGTTCGGTCGAAAGTGATTGGTATGCAAGCTTGTTATGTACAAGTATTGTGACTAATGACCTATAGAACGACTGCTAAAACTGGTGTCTATAGGTCTCTGTGCGCGTGGCAACGGAGGCATTTAACAATATTTCTTGCCAACGGGACACTAAAAATGTACTTTGTAAACGTAATCCGCTTTCCATTTTGCCAATAATGCATCATTAACGTAACAGTGGTAAAGAGCTCATTCTTCAGAAATTCAGGCGTAGGCATCGGTGGCTCTCCGTGAAAAATCGTCTTGTCAATGATCGAAAATTGAGAGAATGCAAATAAAACAAATATTATAAATTTTCGGGTCTGAGTGATGATCGAAATCATGCAGGCAATTTGCATGGCATGCAAGTGCTCTACCGCACAGCTATGCATCTGCTTGGAAATAAAGCATGAATAACTTCCTCTTGTTGTAAATGCAAGGAAAATAACTGTCATGTTTAACAAATACATGTATCCTGCATACAGGTTTCACAACACAACATTTAATATCGCAGCTATATTGCATGATACAAGCGTGCATTGTCATCAAGCATCACAACACGTTATTACTAACGTGACTTCACGGTCTAAAGACAGCCAACCATTACAAAGGCACACTGGTTACTGCACGTATTCCCTCACGACTGCGTAGTGGGCGCATAAAGTTCTAAAACATTTTACACACATTATATTGAGAAGCACGTTCTGCTGGGCGAGTTGGTACTTCATCTTAACTTAGTTGCGCGAAAAAATTTGAAGTGCGAAAGGAAGACACCTGGACACAGCGCACACTAACCACTGAAACTTCATTGGAGAAAACAGACATATGTATGCGGTTACGACAACACGTGAGGTGGAAAAAATGATTAGATGAGCAGACATCTGATCATTTCCTTTCACAGTGTGGACATCGTGTGGTGGACGGCACTGCGCTGTCGTGTGGGAAGTATTATTTAGAATTTATTTATATAATTGTAGATCACAAAGTTTCTCTAAAGGAATTAACAACCATTCTCTAACCAATCATCATATTGTAGAGAGTGTGGCTGCGCGCCCTTGTTTGGAATACGGTAGTTAAAGCTAGATTCAGCGTCACGGTATAGCGCGGGAAATCGAAGAGGCGTATTTCATAAACAAAGCTGGGGATTCATGTGTCACGTAACTCTCACTTATGTTGCTTGCTACTGAGGTAGCTTTCCTGGAAGCGCATCAATTATACAATCTGTCTGCTCATCTAATCCTTTTCTTTCACCGCACGTGTTCTCGTAACCGCATATATACGTATGCCTGTTTTCTCCAACAATGTTTCAGTTGTCAGTGTGTGCTGCGTCTAGGTGTCTTCTTTTTGTATTTCAATTTTTTCGCGCAACTCAGTAATTACATAATATTTCTTGTTGTTTAAAGTATGGTATGTTACCCCTTGTTTACACAAAATGCAGCCATGTGCCAAACCTTCATTGAGACACTTTCAACCTTCTCAATTACACAGTACTATTCCACAATTAAATTTGTTCAAGTAGCATCATGCAATAAAGAGTACACACTAAGTGATTGAATCACGCACAAGAAACAGGATCGATACTGCTATCACGTTCAACTGTGAAAAACGGAGCTTAACGGTCCCCCAGTTTTTTCACACAGTAGCAAGCCCTAATGCATCATACCAGTTTATTTGTCGGCTTGCGTAAAACTATCTACAGTGCTCACGGATTAAAACGTGACATCACATGATTTTGTGTAACTATGTATGCGAGTATGTGCAGTTCCTCAAGATAACCACGCGATGTTGCGACATCAGTAACGATAATGTCGCCTGTGATGTACGCATTCCAGTCAAATTTACACTTATATCACCCTGATTGTAGATGGTGGAAACGAAATCACGGACTATTCTTAAGTTTTTTTTCCGTTTGGATCCGTGACATTGCACCCTGCTTTGAATAATCAAACTAGCAACAAAATTCTAACTGCGTGTCCTTATCAAAACACACGTAAATATAAAAACAAGTGGAACGTAGACGAACAAAGATAAATTCAAACGCAAGACAAATTCAAACGTGGGCTCATAAATCTCATGACACCCTTGGAGTTGGAGATATGCAACTCTTTTTTATTTGTAATTGCGCAAGTTGTAATTTATCCTTGGTTTTTCCTCAAGCGTTAAAGTGAGAAAAATACAACACAAGTATATTTACATCAATATATTTATGAAAAGTACAATGGCACGAAACCAACAATTTCCTGGCGTAGATTTTTTGCATAAATAGAGAACTGTCTAGATCAAGTGAAAAAAGAGAAAGTGTTGTCGTATCGCTTAAACAAAACAGCCTAATGACGTAACCACGATTAGCATAAAGTTATTTACTCAGCAAGCATGCAATGTGGTATGTTTTCGAGTTATCATAATATTTATGAACAACGTGCTAAAGTAATGAAAATGATGAACTTACCTTAACATTTAACCGAGACTTGTCTTTCAAGGAGCCTGTTAATCCTGATAACCTATTCACACCTTAAAGCC